ATGTTTTATAAGTGTAAACAAGTTCATTCTAAGCACACAAGAAGCCAGGGCAAGTGTACTTACAAGATAGAATCTTGATTGGGTGTTTAAGGTCCAAGAACAATAGTGTGTGTTCTTGGTGTTTTGAAGAACACCTGAAGATCTAAGTGAAAATCAATAATAAATGGATGAAATGATGTATAACAACTAGATGTTAGGTTATAAAAACAAATAAAGTTAAGAAACACTTACGTTTTTGGAAGATTAGGTGAAGAACAAGATGCTACTTGAGAGAGAATGGTAAGTGTTCTTTAGTGTGGAAGTTGGGAAATGAAAGAAATGGGGAGTAAAATCATGCCTATGGCATGAGTTTGCGGCCAAAAGAGAGTTCACAACCCAAACCCTCCTTGTTTGTCCGTGAACACCAATCCAAGGTGTTTATTGTTCCTTTGCTATCCCGATATTCTAGAAATCACTTCCTTTTATCCGTTCGTTTCATGAATAATTAATAAAAATACTCAAACGGACTTTAAACCGGATAAAATTTAGCAGAAAAGTATTTAACTTTGGACTGTAGGGTTTGTACGAATGAAAATTTCGGGTTGTCACATTTACGCAGGAACGCCTTAGGTTTATTACTCTCAAATTTAATCTTAAAGTCACCTTTCGTCTTTGAAAGAAGTCGAGTTCAATATTTTTGCCACTACCATTAGAAACTGTAACATTTGCCACCATTAGAAACCCTAACCCTCAGTGTTGTTTGGGAGGGAGGATGGCGGATCAATAGAATCGTCAACATTCTAGATCTGGCGCCGCTACAAACCCTAGCAACTCGAAACCACCACCGCTCCGATCTACAACTCAATGATGACGATGGTTGAGCCAGTGCATGCCAAAGCTTCATATTTATAGATCTGAAGTTGGCGGCGACCCTAGGGTTTGTTGTGATTTGGTGATCTCGAGCTTTATCTTAGTCGAGTGATGGTGAGGAGTCCCTAAGGAGGAGAGAAAGACGATGGTGGTGGATCTGAATGCTGGTTGTGAAAGAGATGGTGGCGGTTTCAGATTAAATATTCTCTATAGGGGGACATAAATTAAGATGTAGAGAAACCGAATAGTGGTGGCTGTGGAGATGGAGGTCCGATGATAATTTTAATGGTGCAACGGGGTCACGAAACTGATAGTTGGTGGAAAGCAACGATTGTAGATCTAGGGTTTTATGAGAGGATATGGATAAGAGCTTATAGAGGGGGGGGGGGGGAGAGAAAAAGAAAGAGAGAGAGAGAGAGAGAGATTTTTTGTTTTATTTTTCTTTTAATTATAAAGTATATAAATAAATAAAAGAACTGAAAAAGCAAAAAACAAGGGTAAAAATGGTCATTACAAAAAAGTTTAAAGTAAATTAGATAAAAGTGGCAAGAAAATGAAAACCTTTTGGACCATGAGTGTTAGTTCAAACCTTTTTGACCCAAAGTAACAATTTCCACCTAACCACATTGACCATTCTTGTAATTTTGTCTTCTATTTATTAGGGAAAAGACTATTTTTTTAAAAAGAAATAGCAATGTACTTTGAAAGTACGTTAATACCATAACATTTATGTATTTTTATTTCAACTAGAGCCATATCTATAAAAGGTTATTGTAAACTTTATTTTTTCAAGGGTAATTTATGTATTTTTTTCCTATTTTTATTTACCTGGTATGATTTTTGAGCGTCAAATAGCAACAAACTTTCATTATTGACTTCAAAACATGATGTATTGAATTCTCTTTAAACTACTATGCATATCCATATACAGGTCAAAATAACTTCACATTGCATCATATTATAATAAAACTAAGCGAATACATGCATGTTGCGCATAATATAATAATATATTTAGAATTTTTAAGAATATATGGTTTTTAAATATATCAATGACGTTGTTGCTAGCTCTTATATAATAAATCTTATAGTAAATTGGTTTAAACATTATTTGTTTTAAATTATATAATAATGTAGAAATCTTTTAAAATTATGTAATCACAATTGTCTTAATGGCCTCTACCCGCAGTTAGTAATGAATAAAATAAAATATAATATATGGTTTAATGATATTTATAGTTGTTATGATTAATTAATTTTAAAAAATTTATTTGCATAAGATTTTAATTTCTATCATTATAATTATTTAAAATATGAAATATTTTTTTTTTGTTTTTAAATGTAACAATATAATTATTGTATATAAATGTTACTTTTAACTATTGTTGTTGTAAGTTATTTACAATAATGCATTTGGAAATTCTTAATTATTTTAATTTGGCTTCAGAAATTTAACTTTTTAAAAATTTATTTGATAAATATTGTTAATTTCTTTTATTGTAATTATTTAAAACAACAATGTTTTTATTTTTAAAGATAACATTATAATTTTTTATATAATATTACTTTTAACTATTCTTATTTTAAGTTATTTTTAAGCTACTTATTCGAAAATTCTTAAAGATTATAAAAACAGTTTCATGGTTTTTTTTTCTTTGTTTTTTTTGTTTTTTTTTGTTGTTGTTATTTTTAATTTAGAATTACAATTTAGGTTTTAACACTAAAATTTATAAGTTTTAACTATTTATAAAATAATCTCTTGATTTTTTTCAAGTTTAACTAAAATTTTGATTTAAATTAACTGTTTAATATTATATTAAAATTGATAAATTAACTATTTTGCATAAAATCATAAATTATATAAAAGTTGTGATTTTTAAATGATAATTGCTTAAATACAACAACATATCTATACCAATAAGTTAACTATAATATGTTAAAAAGTTAAATTCATAGTTTTATAAATAGAAGTAAAATATGATTATTTAATATTGTAGTTTACTTCATTTATGATTAGAATTTAGTTTTTACTTTAATTTAACATTATCAACCAATTTATAATAATTACTAGAAATAAATTAAAAAATAATGGATGTTTCAAATGCATGTGATGCAAATAAAAATACCTCTTTTATAAGTATATTGGTCAAATGCCCGCGCGTTGCGCAGAAACACCTATATAGTTGAAGTCTTTAGAAATATATGTTTTTTTATTTTTTATTTATTTATTTATTTATTAAATATAACAATAACATTGTTAAAATTGATATAATAGTTTGTATATTAAATTGATATAATATATTGATTATTTTAAATTATATGATAATATATATATCTACTATAACTTCAATCTCAATCGTTTGAATAACTTTTACCCTCGAGTTATACATGAATAAAATAAAATATAATATATGATTTAATGTTATTTAAAGTTGTTGTTATTGTTAATTAATTTTTTAAAATTTATTTGCTTAATGTTTTAATTTCTATCATTATAATTATTTAAAACATCAAACATTATTTTTTTTTTTTATTTTAAAGGTAACAATATAATATTTTATGTAGAGTTATTTTTAACTATTGTTATTGTAAGTTAAACTACTTATTTGGAAACTTTTAACGATTATAAAAATACTTTTAAGAAATATTTTAATTAAATTGAGATTACAATTTAGTTTTTGCATTTATCACTTTTAATTATTTACAAAATATTCTTTGGTTTTTAAGTGTAATTGAAATTTATATTTAAGTTGATATTGTAATGCGCAAAAATACCTATATAGTTGAAATTTAAAACTTCGTAATCTCAATCGTTTCAATGACTTTTACCCGCGAGTTACACATGAATAAAATTAAGTATAATATATGGTTTAATGTTATTTATAGTTGTTTTATTGTTTACTATTTTTTAAAAATTTGTTTGCTTAATTTTTTAATTTCTATCATTATAGTTATTTAAAATATCAAACATTATTTTTTGATTTTAAAGGTAACAATATAATAATTTATATAGAGTTATTTTTAACTATTGTTATCGTAAGTTAAGTTACTTTTTTGAAAAATTTTAACGATCATAAAAATATCTTTAGGAAATATTTTAGTTAAATTGAGATTACCATTTAGTTTTTGCATTTATCACTTTTAGCTATTTACAAATTATTCTTTGGTTTTTTTAAGTGGAACTGAAATTTATATTTAAGTTGATACTGTAATGTTATATTTAAGTTAATAATTTAAGTATTTTGTCCAAACTTACAAAAGTTGTAGCTTTAAACTGATAATGGTTTACATATAACAACATATTAAATCTAATAAATTAATTATAATATATTAAAAGTTAAAGAAATAACTTTATAAATAGAAGTAATATTTTAAAATTGAAATTTACTTTATTTATTATTACACTTTAGGTTTGATATTTATTTAATCTTATTAACCAATTTATAATCATTATTAGAAAGACACTACAATTTATCACTTTTAACTATTTACAAAATATTCTTTAAGTTGTTTAAGTTAAACTAAAATTTATATTTAAGTTGACCCTGTAAAGTTATATTTAAACTAATAATTGAAGTATTTTATACAAATTGTTCCAAAATTGTACCTTTAAACTGATAATGGTTTACATCAAACAATATATTAAAACTAATAAATTAAGTATAATATGTTAAAAGTTAAAAAAATATAACTTTATAACTTTAAAATGCAATTTAATTTATATATGATTACGTTTTAGGTTTGATATTTATTTAACCCAATTAACCAAATTATAATTATTATTAGAAAGAAATTGAAAAGTCACGGAAGTTTAAAATGAATGCGACGAAAGAAAAAAATATTTTTTTATAAGTATATAATGATATAAATATAGATATAGGTTAATACAAACATAGGTGAATAGAAGATTGCTTTAAACATATATGCTACTAGTTGTGAAATATTCGATAAAGTCACATTATTTTGTTACAGTTTACAGTTTAATCTTAATTTTTATTTTTTAAGAGAAAAGTTCTGATTATCTACTTTTATATAATAATCTGTCATTTTCTGTTAAAAAAGAATAAAGACTATTAATTTAAACAAAATATAAAATAAGGAAGACTTTTTGTTAAAAAATAAAAAATAAGATTAAACTAAAAAATAAGATTAAACCATAAATAGACCAATATATTGATACTTTATCCCATTTTTACAAGTTACCCAAATACTTGTTGTGTATGTATTCAATCAAACCCCCCATTAGTTGATCATTAGTTAATCATCGTTTGTCAATGAACTTCGAAGATCCCGAATAATCTTGTGGTACAGGAAGATCAAGTTCCGAGCAAACAAACTGGATTATCTCAGGGACCAAAGGCCCAAAAGAGAGCTTGTTTAGGGTCAACGCAATAGAAAATCGGTTGTTTACGTCACAGTATCCTGTCGAACCACCGACCCCTGCGTGACCAAATCCAATGAGTGAACCATCGGTCGTTTTAGCCTTCCAAAATCCAAGCCCAAGTTTACCATTTGGGAAGATTAAATCCTTATAATCTCCTCTCCCCAAGAACGCATCATGAATTTTTGATTTTGCGCTGCTAAAAATTTTAGTATCGATGTTGTCACTTGTGTTGCTGGTTTCTTGGATTTTGATGTAAGGATCGGATTCAGGATTTTTGGTGTGGTTTTCCGTGCTTTCATCTTCCTGGTAATCAGAGGTTTTCTTGGAAGGTAATGTGGGGTGGTGAGGTTGGCTTCCGAGCAGTGGGAGGGTGGAGGAATGGCGGGGAGGGACTGCACCACCATCCACGAGGGCGGCATAGTAGCGAGCCAATGCACGGGCTGAGAAGTGTCCGTTAATGGCTGGTAGTATGGCACGACGGATATTGAAGGTGTTGGATAAGGGAATAAAGTCTGCAAGCATGTCAGGTGAGAGAGAGGAAGGCATGGCAAACTCAGACCTGAACTCAATGTCTTCATATAGAGCAGCGAACATATTGTATTCAGTTTTATCATACGTAAGACTTGCTAAACGAGATTCCACACCTGAATTCCACATAAAAATAAAAAATTCTTATGAACTAATAGACTTATATATATATGGTAAAATATAACAAAAGGGCTTAGAGAGTATGCTTGTTGATGTTCTAAAAAAAAGACATGGAAGAATACATAAAAGCACTTTGTACCTTCACCATTTTATCAACTTTAACCTCCTAATCATATTCGGTAGTGATCAAACAGTTATAGTTTTTGATCGTTTAAAAACTATTTACCTATAACATCATGCAAAATATAGAAAAACACAACACAATTTCACAAATTTATCGAGTTAACCATTGAAATATTATTTCTATCAATTTAGCCACCGAAATATTATTATAATAAACATAAAAGAGTAGTTCGATGGTTAAATTGATTTAAGTATTTTACTTTTTTCCAAAATTGGGTAACCAAGAAAAGTGAGTTTTTAAATGACGGTTTTTTTTAAATGTTTAATAGCTAGAAGACTTAGTTGATGGATAAATGATTAGTTTTTTTTTTTTTTTTTTTTTTGTGAATCTTACCAAGAGGAATCCCTATATAAAACTCGCCTTCGACGTTAAGTGGGCGAACAAAGGCTTCCTCAAGAATATCCTGAAACTTCTTCCCGGATGCATGCTTCATGTTCAAAATATAAGGATCAACGAAAATATTGAAAAAGAAGACAAGGATATGTCATATCAATACCCTTCATGTTCAAGTCAAGAAGAAGAAAAACACGCGACAAGTTGTAGTGCTTTTCGCATGCATGAGACGAAGATAAGTCTCTATTTCATGCAGAAGACATAAATACCCTCCTCATCTACATTATTGAAAATAGCCCAAAACTGGCTAAAGATGCATGTAATTGCATACCTCAATAATCCCACCACAAAGCCAGCCATACGAAAGATAATGATAGAATTGCTCGTGACCAGGTTCAGTCTCTGGTGCCACCATTACAATGCTTTTTTACACACTCATCCCAATCACATAATAACACATGATTATCTTTAGCGATACTAGCAAGAGCATTATGCATCCCAGATGTATGATTAAGTACATGATGAATCTGCAAAAAGAAAGGGAAATGTGATGTAAAAGTTACCTAAACCTTAAACTATGTGTTGAGTTGAGAATTATGTTGTGAGAGACGAACACTTAAATGTAGACTCCGAAGTATCATTATGTAGATAGTGTATTGAAGTGATGTTTTGTTTTAATATCGAATTCGAAGTAGTTGGTAGAACATATAATGCACCTTTGGTATAAAGTTATCAAGTGGGCTTAAAGTAGTGCTCCTTACTGTTAACGTAGGTTAGTGTGAGCAGTCTGTTTGTACTTATCACGTGTGTATGCCCACGTGTTGAAATATGATTGGTCATGTACTACATCTTCATTTTAGTTTTGAGTATCGCTTGTATTATTCATGCTCATAATCTCTCTGATTATTGGAGCCTTTTTCATTCATGTACTCGTACTTTTGATCGATCAAAGAGTTTATAGATTTTTTACATCATTTCATTCCGCATTTCTTGATTAGTCATCTTGTTATTTGATCTAACGCTATGATTTACCATTTTAGGGTTTTAGTACACAACATGTTTGCTCCAGTGAAATCAGATTATAAAGATGGTGTTTAAAAATTAGGGAATAGAAACATTGGGATAGGGATAACCTTTATCTGATGTTTTCCATTTGTACCAAATTCCGGCCAAATGTTTGCAACATTATCATCAAGCTTTAGTTTCCTGTGATGAATATACATGTTGGTTAATACTTACTTGTATTACAAGATCCCATACAGATCCCTTCATGGGAGCTAAATATATACAATCGACAAATATACCCTTTATCGGCTAGCCAATGCATCATTCCTGCTGTGACACCCTTAGTTGCAGAGAAAACAGGAAATAAGGTATCGGGTTGAACTGGACGATGATCATCTTTTCCCATAACTCCAGCTGCAGTATCAATGATCACTTTCCCATCTTTGTATGCACAAACCTAACAACCAACATGAAGTTTATTTATTTATTTATTTATTTATTTATTTATTTTTGTAAAATACAATCAAAAAAACCAATTACTGATGTAGGCATTTTCCTTAAGCTTGACAGGTAAAACAAAGACTAATTCAAGCTTCTAGATAGGGATAACAGTGACACCGACAACGACTGCTTTTTCTGTAAGCGGTGTCAAAATTTTCGAAATTATTTTTTTCTACTATCGTGACACTACCAAAATTTCCAGGGACACCCCTATTATGAAATCCTGCGTCCGCTACTGTTTTATTCGGTCTTGTTGCAAATTATTTGGTGGGAGAAAAAGTTGCAAATTTTGTTTCCCTTCGAATGCATGTAAAATGCAATACAAGTAATATACTAAACTAATCATAGGACAAAACTAGATGTGATTATACATGATTTCGATGGTTATACTCAATGAGGGCATTAATGTATTTTGCTCAAACAAAAGGTCAAGAGTGAGTCCTTATCCTACCTTTTCTAGTTGGGCAAACAATTGCAGTCTTTTACAATATCTAGTTTTTTTATGAAGTGTATTAACATCTTTTGCACAAAAGATGACGACAAGGAGGGTATCAACGCTATTTTTAAGAACGAAGACAATGAGGGTATATAATTACATTTTGTGAGACATTAGGATCCCCCAATGAGAAGCCTACCCTTACCAGGTGATGGCTACCTTGTCCATGTATCAATTGTAATGTGACATTAAGGTATTTTTTTTGTTACATTGACTTCTAAAATTCTTTTACACATAAAAGAGAGGTGTTATTGTGTCACTTTTTTGGGGTGAGAAAAATTAAAAAAGAAACTGTAAATTTTTTTCAACGATGTGTGCTTATGACAACACAAATTATAGTAAACCAATTATATTGGGGCAATGGTATGCACCTGGATTCCAAGTATTTTATCAGCGTTCCCTAATTCGACCAAGAGACGCCTCAGCTTGGCCTCCACTTCAGAATTTATTGGACTGTCATATAACCATTTAGTATTCGATGATGGTCCGTTATTCATGTTGCTGAAACAAAGTAATATAGTAAACAAGGATACGATAAAATACGATGAAAGAATCATGAGCCAGTGGTTATAACTAAAAAATTGTACCTTTTTTAAGACAAATTCGGCAAAAGCTTTATTGATAGGTGGATTATGGTAACATTCCGTGAGGATGAAAGCACTGAAACGATGCAATATACGTTCATATAATGACTGGAGAGAAATGAACTTAGGAGAGGGGTTAATTAATGAAAGCCCAATTAGACCTACTACGTTGACAAAGTAGACCTACTCTATTGAAAATCATTTAATTGAAATGCAAGATCTGTTGGTGAATAGCACTTGGTGCTTGTTAATAATTTTTTATTTGATAGTGATTGTTTTGGCAAGATGTGCACGTTCTGTTCCGAATCTTTTCATAGAGAATAATCACCAAGCATACCATTCAAATCTTACTTCCAAATTAATTTTTTTATCGATCACCGGACTTTGAACCCCTTAGAAGAAAAAAACTTTTTCAACACTTGATAAATATAAGGCCAAAAGCCCTTTGATACACAACAATAATAGTTTACATCTTATAAAATAAAAACCTCACCTCATTACCCATAACTTTTTTAAAAGTTTATAAATGGGTTTCACATATATGTTTACATATTTAACATATAATTTGTAATGAATACAAAATAAAACTTAACATTTATTTTATTATATATTTTAATGAAGCATATTTAATATTATATTTTCCTATAAAACTAAAATTAAAATTTAGGATAATTACTTTTGTCAAAACGTATTCGATTTTAATCTCTCATCCATGGATATTGAAGAGTTACATTCAATGATATAATTTATCGAAGAGAGTCTTGGAATCTTGTGGGGATAGGACTAAATAATTCCAAGGTTAGCGCATCTCGTAGCGTGGAGAAGCACTAGGAACCCAAATTTCTTTCTTTGGAGGCATTTCTTTTCCTGACATAGCATTTTGCTTTCAGTTCTTCGGAAGAATCAAGTGTGATTCTTCCTTCATACATATAATTTATCATAACGAAGAGATACATTTAATGATATAATTTATGGTGAGTACAAAAAGTAGAAATGAATGTTGTACTTTAAAGCGGTCCTAATTCTTGGATTGAATGCATACCATATGGATTAAATATGACACCCCGGTTGGGTGATTTTAAAACAATATTTTAAAACATGTTTAAATATTTTAAAAAGTCAATAGTTCATAGTTTCATAAATTTTGCTAAAGTAAAAGGTCCCAAAAATATTAAAGTTAATAGTTTCAAAATACGAGGTGTTATTAGGTATCACAATAAGGATTAAAATCCCTAACACAATGGGGTCTTCTAAATGTCCCATACTTCTAAATCTTCCATTTCTTCAATCTGAGCACACAACCAAAATAAGTGAGGTGATAAAATTACTTAGTGAACTACTTGAGGTTAGTTCAATTCGCGTAAGGGATAGCAATCCGACTTACTTGAACCAAGCCTTGGAAAAACCATATAAAACAGGATAACACTTTGGTTCAAAAACTCAATCAAAATAACATACACTGTGTATACTTTAGAAATGAGTAATTAAGAAAAAACAATTCAAAAATGAATGCAATGCATGCAAGTATCCCAAACCCATGTCAACCTCAATAGTTAATCTCACACAAATGGAAAAATAATCTTGAGAGACCGCCTCTCAAGTTACATAAAAAGGTAGATCGCATACCTTAAATTTTCTAAGAGGGGTCTACCCTCTTCATCGTCCGGAATATGTTGCGTCTCCCACCAGCTCGCTAGGAGCTAGGTAGCCATAATCCTTAGTCCAACACAAGGGGTAGCTATCCCTCATGTCCACGTGAGGATTATCTAAAAATATTTTTCCAAAGAACTCGCAAAGTAAAGGATCTAAAGGAATTAACCACTCAAGTGTCCCATCCTAGTATGAATGCATGCATGCAACATGTAGGATGACAAAACCACTTTTAACGCACTTATTAGCCTTTTGTTATCAAATACTTTTTAAAACATGATTTCATGAATGCAACAAGTTTACATGTATAAGCACTGAACAATCAAGTCATATAAGAAACAATTTTTCAGAATATGTAGTAAGTAAGGACTTGTGCATGGTCCTGATAACTCACCTCCACTTCTAGCTCAAAAACTCTCTCATTATTCCAATAAAGTCCTTAATCACGACCTATGTAATTTAAAGTGTATTATTAAAATGACCTAAATACGCCTTGTCTAGGAAAATTTTCAAACTCTCAAATTTAGCACCACAATTACTTTTAAGACTAGTGTAATTGAAATTAGATTAAATGGATGCATCAAACCCCGTGAACTAAAATAAGCATGAACAAAATGATTTACATGCCACGTATGACTCCTGGATGCACCGCATCCAAAGGAAAGGCCTTGACTTTGGGCATCCTAGTTACACTGTGCGTCATGTACTACACATGTATGCACACATATAATACAATAGAATACAACTTCAATCCTTTTTAATACCCTTAAGGTATACCAATTTCCTATAATACCATTAGTTTCCAATGTACAAGTTGGTACAACCACTATGAGCTTCCAAACACCAATATTAGCTAATAAATCACATCAAACACATTGTCTTAATCCATTAAGTCTTCATAATAAATTATGATATTTATTGATCAATAAACCTTCCTAAATAGAGTTACATTATTAATGTTCTTATTGACTTTCAAGTGATCCTTATGACACCCTAACCACTTTAATACCTCATTCAATCATAAGGATACCATCAACCCATACTAATTTTAAATTGAGATTACAATTCATTTCTCTTGATTTGCTAAATTCACGTTGTGACTAACAATCCTTAGTATCACCTATAGATTAAGGGATTCTTCATGTTTCAGAAACAAGTTCAAAACTATGCATTATTTCATATCTAGGAATATCATTTACATCAGAATCCATCAACAACTTGTAACGACCAAAATTTTTGAACTAATTTAAAAAATTTCAATCCATTCCAAAGATCATTAAGTTAATACAACTTGTTTTCAAAACAGTTTTAAACATCAGAGTATTCCCAGAACCACATCACAAAATCATGAAATATGAGGAGGGTTACGATCACACCTTTGCCTTGCCACGATTACCTGATGTACCTGAAACAATAAACTGAAACCATAAGCTTGAAAGCTTAGTGAGTTCCCCCAAAATACCCATACACACATAACCATACACATACGTCAATAAACAGCATACCATGGGTCCAATCAACCGCCGGTTTGGAATACCCCAGGCCCTCAACCATCGGGTTGAAATGCCAACATACTACGAGTCCAATCATCATCCGGATGGAATACTCTCGGCCCACAACCATCGGGTTGGAATTCCCACACACCTATACATACAATAACTACTATGGGTCCAATCATCCCTCGGGATAGAATACCCCAAGCCCAAAATCATCTGGTTGGAATGCCATCATACTACGAGTCCAATCATCCTACCAGGATGGAATACTCCTGGCCCACAACCATCGGGTTGAAATGACCACATACTAGCAAACATGTGCATTAATCAAATAATCACATAACAGTCTACTAAAACAACATACTAGGGCCCTATCATCCTACCGGGATGGAATACCCTCTACAACTATTTAAACATGCACACATATCATAGGTAATCTCTTACTAGCACACAGACAATCCGACCAGCTATAGGTCACTAAGCATAACCACATCTAATCTACCAGGATGCCAATCTAACCAACCATACTAGCATATAATCATCCATTCTAGCAGAATACCGTACTAACACATCACAACAGCAATTACTCAAATAAAAATTCAAAGGGCCGACCTTGGTGCCTTAGACCCTTGGTATAGTGAGGATAACTCACCTTAAACTGTTGAAACAATGCTGGTACCCTTCTGACTACTATCTGACAATCCCCGCACCGCTGCTCCTCTAGTACCTCGAACTATCAATGCCACAAAAACACTTAGCCCCAAAACAATATCCTTTTAAGGGTAAATTGACCATTTTACCCTTAACCCAATCTGGTCCATGACTAAGGTCCAAAACCACAACATGAAAAGCCCAACACTAGAAAAGCTTCTCAAGCTCACTAGTGACCCACTAATGGCCCAATTTGCTAATTTGGGCTCAATCCCTTAATGGGCCTCATCCTAAGCCCAAATTATATTCCTTGACCCATATAATATGATTTCTGAGGGCCTACTAAGGCCCAAATACCCAAACATGCCCCAAACCATGGCCCAAAAACTCATGATCCATACAGACAGATTATGCCGGGCGTACCCCCCATGTACGCTAAAATGGCGAGTACGCTGGGCGTTCCACAATTTACGCTGTGTGTACGCGCGTCTGAACAAAAATCCTTCCACGTGCTTAATGGCTTAAGCACTTAAGCCCATATGCCAGATCCAGTGACAAAAAGGGCCTAGGACTTATAAAGTCTCAATCTTTATCCTTTTGGACGTCCATAAAGCTCTTAACTCAAGGTCTTAACCCATTAAGACCTTCCTACTTCATACATGGGACAACCAAAGCCATTGACCTCATTTTTCTCACCTAAGACCCCTCCTATGGTCTGAAAGGACAACTTATCTTAACCAAAACACATCATGCATCATAATGGGGTTTTTGGGACAAGAAATGGTTTCAAAACTTCACCACACTTAGATCTACACAAAATAAATGTCAAGCAAGAAGCTTTATACCTTCAAGTGGTTGTAAAGGGTAATGCTATCTCAGATCTACAAGCTCCACCCACCAAGTTTCCTTCTTTGCTAACCTCTTCTTTCTTCTTCTAAGCTTTTCTTTGCCAAACTAAGCTCCACAAGGCCAAACAAACCCAACAATGGAGATAGAATGACTATCTAGTGTTTTTCTGAGGATAAGGGAACAAATAAGGAGGCTAGGGTTGATCCCTTATGTTCTTTAAATAGTGGCTGGCCCTAAAGTTAGGGTTTTATGACTCTGAGCGTACGTTGGGTGTAACTCTAGTACGTTAGGCATACACCTTGTTGTACCCGCGATCATTCACTCTATTACACTGGGCGTAACCCAGCCTACGCTGGGCGTACCCACGCATTTCCCAAATGCATGCATGGCCTTTCCTCGTCAACTTTTTCCATTAAGTGCCATAAATGTCAATATCTTCAAAGTGTCATAACTCCTTTATTATAAGTCTGTTTTCGATGAACTTTATATCCATGAAAAGATGGCGAGGAGCCGTA